TTAACATATAGATTGAAATGGTGTCCTGTCATTAGATTCAGACCTGGGGCATCAAGAAGAGCTTGTTTAAGCTTCTGGAATGCAGTTTGGGAATCAGATTTCCAGGTTAAAATATGAGTATTTGCATTTTGGGCTTTCTTTATAAGCTGAAAGGTTGTGCCCAAAGGCAGCAAAAGCCTGTAACTCTTAGGAATCCTGTAAGATGTTTTAGGATCTTGGGCTTCAGGAAGGAAAGTATTAGCTCAATTTTCTTTTCCTTGTCTTTGGGTTCTTTTAGTTGTGGTAAGGCCCAAATATTTTACTTTAAGGCTACAAAGTTTTACCTTAGACTTAGAGACCTTATATCCTGTGTCTACTAGAAAATTTAGCAGAGCAAAAGTGCCCTGGCTAAAGAGCTCTTTTGAGGGGGCACATAACAGTATATCATCTTTATATTGCATGACTATGACTTGGAAAATTTTAAAATATGAGAAATTAAGGGAAAGCACTTGCCCAAAAAATGAGGACTGTCTCTGAAACCTTGATGATCCACAGCTCAAGTCAATTGAGAGACTTGGTTGTGAGGGTTTTCAAAGGCAAAAAGAATGTAAAATAAGGCATCTTTTAAATCTAACACTAAAAACCAACCAGCATCTTCTGGGATCTGTGAAAGAAGAGTCTATGGGTTAGGTACCATTGGGTGGATTGGCACTACTGTCTCACCTACCCATTGAAGGTCCTATCCCAACCTTTATTCTCTATTGGGTTTTTGTTTTCTCTTTTTTTTTTGAGACAGGGTCTCACAACATAGTTGAGACTGCCCTAGAACTCACTATGTAGCCCAGGCTGGTCTCAAACTCACCATGATCCTCCTGCCTCAGCCTCCTGAGTGTTGGGATTATAGGTGTGCGCCACCACACCCAGCTCTTCTATTGAGTTTTTGAACTCTCAAGATTGGAGTGATGCAGGGCTGTTACAGGGCTTAAGTAAACCTGTGTCTTTAAATTATCCATTATAGGGAATAGTCCTTTTTTTAACTTTAGTACTTAGAGGATATTATTTCTGGTGAGGAAAAATAGTGGAATCTTTAAGATGTATTTGTATCAGGGCAGCTCTTATTGCTCTTTCTATTTTACCTTTAGTTTTCTATATTTTAGGATTTATTTCTGTCCCCACAAAGGGGACAGAAGGGGGAGGCAGCATACTTGACCTGGATATATGTGTATTATAGTATTCAAACAAAATAAGATCTCATTCCAAGAGGGGAACTGGACTTTTAGGCATAATCAAAGGAATGGAAGAAGAGAAAGCTGTCCTAGTTACAGTTTAAGGGTTTTAAGAAATAGGGAGTTATCTCTAGTGATTTCTTTTACTGAAATCTGACAGCTGGAAGGAAGGCCAGGGTTGAAAAGAAAGACTAAAAGACCTGGGCTAGTGTCCAGGACTAGGCTGTTTTTTTCCCCCCTCTATGGTCACAGTTACGAAGGGCTCTTCTGTTGAGATGACAGTCTGGCCAGTGGGAGAAGGCAGAGAGTGCCCCGGGGCTCTTCAGTCCTGCTAGACCAGCTCTAAGATTAGTCTAATCCCTCGGACCCTTGTCTCAGGAGTCAGTCTGACTTCCAGAAGTCACCTTTGCAATCAAGGCATGGCTCAGGGAGCCTCTTGTCATGACAGTTTTTATCACAGTCCCTCCTAAGGTGGCCTGCCTTTCCACAGTTGGTAGCAGGTGAGTTTAGTCATTAAGCTTTTCTTGGAGAATCAGATTTAGAGTCTATTTTTTTTTTAAAGGCAATTACTAAGGTAGACCCTTTCTCTTGGTCTCTGTTTTTTTTTTTGTTGTTGTTGTTGTTGTTTTTTCTTCCTCTCTTGGCTTTATCCTGCTCTGGATTATAAAATATTGAGGAAGCAATTCTTACTAAAGTATCAAGTGAGCTATTTTGGAACAAAATGCATCTTTTGTAGCTTTTGTCTAACGTTTGATGCTGACTCTGACTGGGTAACAAACTTGTCTTTAAGAATAATTAGCCCTTTTACCAAATCAGGTATGTACATTTTATCAGTGCCTCTTGAAAACAGTCTAACAAGGCAGAGGGGTTATTACCTTTCTCTTGATTAATAGTTGACTGTTTAAAATATTAAAAGTCTTAGTTCTTGTCCTTAGCTTTAGGAATACATGTCTGAAGATGTTTCCTATTCTAAACTCCAGTCTGGTTGGTAGTCCAATAGGGATCTTGTGTAGGGAATGCTTGGGCTCCAGTAGGAACTGGCTGTTCCCTTCCTGTCTGTTTTCAGGCCTTTTAAAATTAACAATATATTTACCTCCAAATGTATTAGCAGCTTGTAATACTGCTTGTGTCTCACCAAAAGTCAATGTTTGATGTAAGAGTAACATTACATCTTTCCAATCTAGTTTCCTAAAGACTTTGATGTACTTGTCAGGGCCATCTGAAAACTCCCGGTTCTTGTTTGATCTATTTGAAGTCACTGAGAGAAAAGCACACATGGACATGTGGACAGCCAAATTCTCCATCCACCTCCTGTAAGAAATACTGTCTCTGAGAAGCTTGAACAAAATCAGTTAGGGTTGGGTATAGCCCTGTAGAGGCTTCAATTAATATTGGCTTAGAAGCCAATATTTACAGTCTACAGGGCAAGTTAGAGGAACCCGGGTTTATTAATAGTAAGAGAGGCTTTAATTAAGTTTGCCTTTGAAACCTCATCCTTAGGATCTGAAGGGCAGGAGGGAAATGTCAAGCTCAGTAATAGTAGGTGCATCCAATTGTTCCTTAAGGGCCACAGGTGTCTGGTTTTTCTGTGGCTTACATTTACACTTTGAACACAAGTAAGGTTTGCCTTTTAAGTCTTAACATAAGGTAATTCTGACCATTTTCCCTCTCTTACAGTATAATTTTACTTGTAAAATAGTATCATAATCAATACTTTTCTCTGTATTCTATCTTGTCTCTGGAGGGTAGATAGGCCTTATATGGGAAGCAGACAATATTAAAGAGTGCTTTCTCAATAGATGAGGGACGAACAATTTTTAGTGTTAAAGAATACATTCTAAAGGGGTAAGAGGATTTGACATTGAGTTTCCCATCTGCAAAACAACAAGGAGAAAATAGGTGCCCCTTCTAATCTCCACTTGGTTTCTATATCCTCTCAAGATGTACCCTGAGGTGACCTGCTCCAGGACAGGTGGCTGCTATCTGGAGAGTGATCAGAAGATAGATCAGGTCAGACTAGCCCCTCTTACTGCTGTACTCCCCTACTTTTTCTGGAGACTCACACTCTTGCAAGGCAGATGGTGGAACCTCTGAGCCAAATCCCCAGACCCTTTCACACTCTTAATTCTAGCATGTGTTTCCAAAAGCACAAGCTACAACTGACTAGCTATAACCATCTTGTTTAGAGGAGGCATTGCTACCAAACTTAAACCAATAATTTTATGACACCTGAACAACTGCTTTCTAATTCTCTGAAAGAGAGTGGGGGAGGGGATAAATTGGAAGTATTACAGGACTCTCAGCCTATGAAAAGAGATCACCTCTGGAGAGATAGAGGCAAGTAATGGCTCAGAAAAAAATCTTGCCCTGGGTCCTGTGGCAAAGAAGTATCTAAGACACAAATGTGCCATCCATCTGATCATCTAGGCAACCTTCCTTGGCAGAAAGACATGGCTAAGTTTTACTCAATATCCACTCTAAAATTTTTATGTCTCTATATCTGCATCATACTTATGAAACTCGCAGGTTAAAACCTACACTCATCATCCAGCAATCACAACTTACACATTAGTGAAAGTTTCCCTCTCCTACACACATAAATGATGAGAATCAGGACTAGAAAAGGAGAGAGCAAAGAGGTTGAATAGTCTCCCTTAAACTAAATGAGTTTTGGTCCCTTAAATATTGTGCTTTAGGAAATAACTCCTTCTCTCACCCAGAAGTTGGCCAATTCTTTCCATGGGATCTCAGATTCAGTCTCCCCTACCAGGGAGAATGTGCCCAGAAAACTAAGAGGGGGTATAACTTTCACATGTTCTCTTGTACAGACAAAATTCTGATATCTCATCTGACCAAAAAATGGGGAATGTGTTCCTTATCTAAGATGACTTCCCTGTCTTTGGCATTAACAAGCACTCATTTTTATGAGCTCAACTTAAAAGTTCTTAGTTGTTGGATAGGAGGAAAAGGTTCAGACAATTCAGAGTTCCTCTTTCTCTAATATTTATCAGAAACATACCTCCAAAAATGAAAGTACAAAGTGGAAAAGATCAGAAATGAGATCAGAAGAATAAAGTATTTTTTTCTCATGTTCATTTAGACAATTTGCCCATGAGTTGCTACCCTCGGCCTCGAAAGGCAAGGGTAGGGAATCTCAGAAGCTAAGATTGCCTCCTCACCAGCAGAAGATCAGACATGAGAGGAAACAGAGGCAGAACAGGCTTGACATTACCCTCTGAGTGCAGAGTGGGGAATCAGGCCAAATTTCTCAATGAAACCTGTCCTCCAAGTCTTAAGAACAGTTGCTGGGATGTTGCCTTTTAACCGGCATTTGGAGTTCCATGATTTTTTAATAGGCACGTGTATTTCCTAAATATAAACTAAATTTCATAAAAAGATCCATTTTATAGCATTTCATAAATTCACAATTTGGTTATCATCAAAGTCCACTACGCGATGCTCTAATATTACTTTTCCCTAGCACCACTAAGTCAACAACAGTCAAAATAAGTCAAATAGGTCAAGTAATCAACACTAGTAAATTTAGCAACTAGTCCAAATGCAGCATGTATAAAACAGGAATATAAAGTCTTGCCTGCAAAAGTACAGTGTCCCATCAAAGAAACATGACAATCTTCCTATGTTTTCAACTAAAAATTTTACCATCGTTTTAACACAAAATCATATGTAAAAAATACAAGGCATAAAATTCAAAGCTTAAGCAATCAACAAACAAGGATCACACTTTATGAGTCACAATCCAGAACACAGAATAGAACAAAAGCAAACTCTTACCTCCTTCCAATTATCTTGCTGGGGCCTGCAATTGATATAGGGGATATTACTCCCAACCTGCTGAATGTCAGATATGCCGAGTTTGTGTTTCCCCAAATGTAAGAATGAATCCTAAGGGACAACAGAGTTTAAGAATAGGAAAGATTTATTGAGAGAGGTAGCTCCTGAGAGACATGAGGGGACCTGAAAGTGGGTTGCTGTGGATAAAAGTGATAAAAAACTCAGCATGTCCCTTTATCCTCTCACTGGGCTCCCACTAGCTCTCCCATAGCCCCTCCCTCTACCTCCCTTCACTGGCCAAAACAATTCTCTCTTTTAACCCTTCAGCCATCAGGACCTTTCTATCTTTAATCTCTTACCCTTTGAGGCGGAAAGTCACTCATTCTGCTTCCTGTGTTCCTTAAATCCAGCGATGGTCACAGAACATTTCCAGAGAGCAACTGTCCTCCCTTGGCTGGCCAGCTGCAGGGATGTCTGTCTTATCCACTGACCCACATCCTGTTACAGCCCTGTGTCTCAGCCGTAGACATCCACTGTTGACCTTGTTGCTGCTGTCATTATCTCTGTCTCACTCCTCTCCATGTGGAACCTCCCTCCCTCTATTACCCCTTCCTCTCCTTTATCCTGTCACCTACAGAACCTGAAACCTCGCTGTCGCTATCCTGGTCTGAAACCCAAATGCATAAAGTTTTTTTTGTAATACTTGCTGGCCACAGTGAAACTTGAAAATGACCCTCAATGGCCAGAAAAATATCACCTTTGATTTTTCCATCTTGTGGGATTTAGATAATTGCCCAGAACAGGGCACATGCTCAGAGGTAATCTATATTCAGGTGTTCTTTCCACTCCACAGCCTCTCCATCCTATGCTGTTCCTGTGATTCCTCTCAAGTCCTTCTTTCCCTCTGGCCTGCACCCCCTTTGATGCCATCCAACATAGATTCCTCCTTGAGGACTGACCCAACTGACTTGGCTCTTTTCTGGAAGTTCCCAGACTCGGCTGCAGTGGAGGCAGACGATGCCACCCCACTCTCTGGCCACCACGACCTTTTCATTCCAATGAAATCCTCAATGGGGATAGATGCAGATGAGAGAAGCCCTTGGGAGCGCTACTCTTTATCCGTGACTATTGATTGGCTCCACACCTCCTAATGTTTTCTATGTCCTGTCACTACTTTGCTTACTCTTCATTTCCAGTCAATTCTCCAGTACATATTTGTCTCACCGACAGCTTGGAGGTTGGTCAGTGGGCCTGAAGAACATATCACAGATGTACACCACTCAGTGTACCAGCACACATGGAATGAAAGTGCATGGTAACCCTGATGACTGTCCAGTTTTAGAGATGATGATGTTACTCTAATTCAAACTCAAAATGATCCTAAGAATTTTGATCCACTTAGGCAAATTCTTGATGACCCAGGTATATCTCCCAGTCAAATTGAGAATTAAATACTTGATGCCTATATATATATATTTTTAATTTTACTTAGTAAATGAAAGCAGCATTAGGGAATTGCTTCAGAAGAAATAAAAATGTATCAGTTTTGTATTATTTTGTAATAAATAGTATTACAAACTTTCCTAATAGTTTTCAGGATGGAGTTTAGAGCTACAGTGGCATTTAATAATTGCCATTCCAAATTGTGAAATATGATGTGCTCAACCTTTTCAGGACATTGAATAGATGCTGAAGGCAGAGTCTGCCGTGGAAAAATTTGAAAAATTCATATCCTTGTCCAGCAGGTGGCACTCATATATTACAGTTTAGAGAAAGCAGGTCCGAGCAGAAAAGTGTTTAAAATGTCCATCGCTTCTCGGCCTTTAGGCTAAGATCAAGTGTAACTGTCTAAAATATCCATTTACTCCTTGATCCCCTTTGTCGCCACAAAACCTCTTCTCACCTCCATTCTACTCCAAAAAACTGTCTCACCAACCCATTTGCGTCCCTTCAGGTGTCCTGGTCTCTCTAGCTACTCATAGGGAAACATATTTTATATTAACTTTTTTTGTTTTTGGTACTGGGGATCGAACTCGGGTGCTTGCGCTTGCGAGGCAGGCGGCAGAACCACTGAGCTAAATCCCCGGCCCTATATTTTATATTATTAATAGAGCCTAGGAATATGACTGATGAAGTCATTTGCTGAGGTCGTGTGAAATGAAAACGTGTGACTCTTGGTTCAAAATTGGACAGTTTTGAGACAGTACTATTCAGCTCATTAGCCTGCATACGTGGTTCATCCAAAAAAAGTTCATATTTAACATGAATGTTAGCTCCTTCTCCCCACCCCCCCACCCCCGCCCCGTGATTCCAATGCTCTCTCCCCTGTGACACACACTCCCAAAGTGCCGCTTAGGAAAAGGAGATTCACTGAGTGTTATCCAAACATCACAGAATCTTAGAGTTGGAAGGAAATTTAAAGATCTAGCCCAGTTCCCTTTTTGAAAGATGACTGACTACATTCCAAAGAGATTAGGTGGTTTGCCTCAACGCCCCATCTAGTAATGTCATAGGCTGGTCTGGAATTAAGAGTTTTCATGTACCAGGCCAAGGCTCAGTCTATCACACAGGTTTGGTGAGGGATTTCAAAAATTAATATTAGTGCTTATTATCTGAACAACGAGGACGTTTCAATGTGACATTTACCCAAAGGCTTTTAACATTCTTGTAGAGTATTCACCCTCCCTGCTGTATTTTCTTGCTTCTTTGCCCTACCCCCCAGTTCCTTTCTCCTTCCTTAGAGTCCACCTCCTTTCATGTTTTCTTTCTTCCTCCTAGGTTTCGCATCTGAAGAAAACACCCGATACTTATTTTCTGAGTCTGACTTATTTCATTTAATGGAGAATTGATTGGAAAGGAAGAACAAGAGAGGTAGTGGAAGAAAATAGATCTCTGATTCCATCTATTTTCCTGAAAATCTACACGATTTTGTTTGTTATGGCTGAGTAATATTCCATCTATTGATGGACATTGAGGTTGATTCCATAACTTAGCTATTGTGACTGGTGCAATAATTAAAAAAAAAAACAACACTGGGCACACAGGTATTTCTGTAGTATATTGACTTTGATTCATTCAGGTTATCCACTCAGGAGTGTTATAGCTGCATCATATCATGATTTTATTTTACTTTAAGGAAGCTTTATACTGTTTGCCATAGTGGTGGTACTAATTTACATTCCCTCAGCAAGAGATACGTTAAGAAAAGACTTTGCCCATGTACATATATTTTTCAGCTTTTTCTACATGCTTGTATTACTTACATTTACTGAGTGCAGCTATATGCTAGACACCATTCTAGATGTTTCATATATAATACTTTAACAACAATCTCAGAAAAGTGTTACTATTTTCTCCATTTTTCAAGTGAGAAAATTAAGAGTCAGAATCTTGAATCTTGGTCAGCAAAGTGGAAGGAAGAGTTTAGGGAGGTCTTTAATTCCAAAACTTATCTTTACATAATATCATTTCTGAATTCTAGAACACTGAGCTAACCTGAATTTCTTGAACATTGGTCTTGTTTTTTGGTCAGCTGTGAATGATCCTGGGGATTCTTTACAGGCTATTAATGCTTTTCAAATTTGCCAGGCTTTCTCCTGTCCTAGGACCTTGCTCCAAGGGGTCTCCTTCACTTATGACACTCTTCCCCTCATATTCTATCAGAAACAGTGACACTTATCTTGTTTCTGAATGAAAAAAGAGCCATTGAAGCATTTTGGGCAGAGAAATTATTTTTTAAAGGATCCACTGGCTGCTGTATAGAAAAAGAGACTAAGAAAGCAGAGCAGGGAAAGTGGAAGCTGTGGACTATTTGTTGTAATCCAGGAGAAAGAGAATCCTGGCTCAGAGTAAGGTGATAGCAGTGGAAATAATGAAAAGAAATTAGATGGGGTTTATATGTGTGTATAAATATTATATTTTAACCCTTGGTCATGAAAAATCAATTTCACACAGAGATAGGGAGAAGACTATAATGAATTCCCATGTTTTTACTAGGTACCTGTGAACCTATCAATTGTTATCATGTGTCTGGCACTTTTTAACAGCTGTAAGAGTGTCAACCTGTGATTGTTGTCAACTGTGACCAACTGTGTTCTATGTATATCTCTATGTATATCTATGTATATCTCTTTGCACTTCTTCCTCAACCCAAGACTCAGGGGAAAGGGATTTGAAGCAAATCCCAGATACATTTCCTGTGTAAATAATTCAGCTTCTACTACTCCAATTGTTTTTAATTGCTTCTCTCTTCTGCTATTTACTATATGGCTTCTGTGTTTTCATAATTTCATATATTCATCACTGCTGTCTGGTCTATTTGCCCTCCTTAAACTCTTTTCCTTTCTATCAGCTACTTACTATGAATTTTTCAAATTCAAACTCCCTAAAAAGAGGTTGCTTGGGTTCAGTTAATATCTGTTATTTCTGTGTGCAGGGCTTGTCAGCTGGCTGCACTGTGGTAGAATGGCTGTTCTGGGGTCAGGCACAATATGGTATGATGACAAAGTCATTTGTCCCAAAAAGAGATTATTGAAATGGCCATCACTTAGCAAGTAATAGACCATTCTTCAATATTAATAAATAGTGGAAATTTAACACCAGAAGGGATACAAGTTGTGAAAAAATAAAGCTTCTGGTGAGGCTAGCATAGAAAATTGTCTAACCACTGAATTGCCATTATTTTATAGCTTGAATTGATTGGTTTGGAGTGCTATTTTGGCCACTAAAGAATTAAGGGATCAAACCCACGTAATCAATTTCTGTAATCAAACCCACCTAGATTGTTCCAATAACCTCAATAAAAAAGAAAAAATAAAATAAAAAAAAAGAATTAAGGGAATTTTTTTCTAAAGATATTTTTGTCTATCACAGGTCAAGAAATAGCATAAATCATAGACGGAAAGTTAAGACCTACATGTACTTCTTGTGTTCATCACGGATTCTAAAACATTTAGACAAGGCAATAAATTTCTTTGTGCCTTAGTCTCAATTTTCAAAGAAGGTGATACCTGCGCTTTTCCTCTTTTACATATGTAGACAAGTGAGATTAGAAAATACACATCTTGAGACCATAGTATTAAGTAAAATAAACCAGACACACAGACTTAAATATCATATTTTTCTTACATGAGAAGCACAGGTTATAAATAAAGAGCAAAATAAAAGATAGTAAGAACTAGGGAGAGTGATCTTTCTCAGTGGAAAGAGGATCAAGAGATGGAGGAAGGGGCTAGGAGGAGAGGAAAAGGGGACAAAAAAAGGTAATAAGATGAATGCCATACATGGACCAACTCCACATAAGGAAGGCAAACATTAATACTGCAAATATGTACTAATAAAATAATCTTAAAACAGAGTCAGTGAGATGCAAAAAAAGTAAAAGTATGTTGAACATTTATGAAAAACAGCATGTGAAAACCTCAATAATGTTTTCTATGTGAAGATGTTTACAAAGTTATAAAACAGATTTATTTTTGCAAAAGATTATATATTCTCTAACTTATTCATTTCCATTGTATGCTCAGACATTTTCCTACATCATCCTGTATCTGTCAACATACATACCACTTAGAACAATGTGTAGCACGTAGTAGGAACTATGTAAATGTCAGCTGTTAGCTATATTAGTATGAGAAAGAATCTGTTAAAGCAGAGGTCCTCAGATTTGCAAATGCTTCATTCTTCACCCCATAATATACATACTACTAAAATGCAATTGCTTAAGGCACCGAAGATAGTACACTATACGGGAATATGAGTGAAAGGAAACTTTTTGCATCCTGGCAAATTTGGCAGTGTATGTGCTTGTGAAAAAAAAAAGTGGAGAGTAGCAGTGGCAATAAAAAGTAACTTCTTGGGGCTTGGCTGTGTAACCAAGTAGCAGGGTGCTTGCCTACCATGCTGAAAACTGTGTTCAGTCCCCAGTACCACACACACACACACACACACACACACACACACACACACACACACACTCACACACTCTATAGCATTTTGGTGTCTGATAGTCCTGTGATTCCTTCACAAAGAGTGATTAGTGCACAGGCTGCATCAGAATCCACCAGGGAGTGATTCCAAAATTCCTGCTTTTATTTTCAGAGATTCTGACCTAGAACATTGAAAATGGATACCAGGAAAGCAAAGTTTTTTGGTTTGCAGGTGATCCTGATTTCTAGATAGTTCTAGGAATCACAGACAATAAAAAAATATGATACAATTTCTGTAGATTTTGGGTTTATGCAGATATTTGTTTTGTATTTCTTTTCTTATTTCTGAATTTTCTGATTAAGTATGTAGTACTTTTATAATAATAGATATTACCGTAGTCATATATTCATTTTCACATAGTCATAAATAGTTCAAGGTTTTAAAGATGCCCACAGAGCCCATGTTTTTAATTTACTAAATGTGAAGACATCCTATCATTGCATATATCACATAATTATTTTTTAAGGAAATGCTACTTATAAAGCAATGAGGGTAGAATTTTTATTTTTCTGTTTTTAAAAAGTTTCAGATTCTTTTCAAACACCAATAAATGTATATCCTAACAATATAAAACAGATTAAATCCTAATTATCTTTCACTTCGCTTTGGCAAAACTGGAAATATACCAATGCTTATAGAAGGACTAGTCAGTCAGCTGCTTTATACTTGAAGGAGAGAGAAAAACAGTTTTTCTACAATATCGATCTTCCATCCAGTTTATATTCTGGGCTGTGCTCCAAGAATTATACTTATTCCTTTTTAAAGATCCTCTTGGCTTCAACTCCTTCATATGTATAAGTCTGAAAGGTGTTAACAAACAAAAGAATTTACCACTAAGAAATGTCTTAGTTAAGAAAAATAATTAATATTTCATACCACTGAATGAGTACATACAACTTTTCTTCTACTTGATTACAATATTTTATGCAGATATAGGATATGCCCAATAACACATTTTGGCTGTAGTTATTTACATTTGTAGTTAAAATAGGCATTGATGCATTTGTCACACTTTGTAATAGACATCAAAAATATATATTTATAAATCATTAAGATTTATAAGACAATAAAATTCATTTATTAAAGATATAATACAAATTCATTTTGTTTTTGGAAAACAGAAATCCTCTATACCTCACCTGGTTTAGTTCATCACCTATTATTTCTCGGACAGCAATCAATTCATTCCCATTGTCTACTCGTTTAAATTTTCCAACAAGTTTATCCCCTTCAAAGGTCCAGTTCCCCTAAATAATCATAATCAAAATCATAATCATAATCATAACTAATAATAAGGCATTTATGAGGGTCTTACAAATGTCAGGCGCTGTTTTGAGTTCTATACAATTACTTTTTCTTTAATGTTCATAGAAATTCTATGAAGTACACACTGCTGTCTCCATCTCACAGCTGAGGAAACTATACAAGGACAGAGGAATTCACCCAAAGTCAAACAGCCAGAGCTGAACATGTGCTGTTGGGCTCTATAGGGTATGTGTTATTAACCATTATGCTGACCTCCATTCAGAACTTCTGAATGCATAAGACAATGAATAGTAATGAATAACGGATAAAACATTAAATTGTATATTGTCATTGCAAACATATAGAAATAGAAAAACTGAGGTTAAAAAAATGTTGTCGAAATTGGTTGAAAAGGATGAGTTCCTAAAATTTTTTAATCTTAAGCATGAAAAGGTATATTCTTAATGACATACAATGCAGTAGTAGATATTTTCCATTTGTTTACTCATCTATTAACTTATTTTGTTATTTTAATAGTTTATTAAATAGCTATTTGGCCAGGCATGGTGGTGCATGCCTGTAATCCCAGAACTTTGGAGGCTGAGGCAGGAAGATTGCTGTGAGTTCTAGACCAGCCTGGCTACATAGTGAGTTCTAGGTCAGTCTCAATTACATAGTGAGACCCTGTCTCAAAAAACCAAAAAAAAAAAAAGCTATTTTGTTTAAATTCTGTAACTCTATTAAAGTTGAAAACACTGAGCTTTAAATTTCTTAATGAGTAGCTCTATATGCAATCATTCGTAGAATATTCAAACAATATTTTTCAATTTCAATTTTTTCATCCAGGTTCTTCATGAGTGTGTGAGAAGACTAAAAATGTTTCATTTAAATATCCTTGCAATTTGTGTGAATTAAAATGTGGGCAGATTTCATCAGCTCTTTCAATAAATGCAGACCTGCATTAGTTAAACCACCCAATGTGATAGAGCAGAGATTGTTGTAGTGGAAAGGTCAAGAATTCATTGCTTATTTTAAAAAAGTTCATACACTGAGTTCAGTTCCATCTGCTAAACTGTAATTAAAGTTGACACCAAGTTCAAAAACAACTTCGATATTTCGAAAAGTGCTTGATTCTTTCACTATGAACTTATTTCCTTCTTGTGTGATTATTAGTTTCAAATTGTCATGAGCTGCAAACTTCCTTTTCACCATGTTAATACCTGCAAAAGAAAAGGAATTGGAGAAAATAAAATAAGAATTCCCTAGCAAATGTTGCCTTTTCTAAGTTCAGTTTTATTTACTTGTTTATTTTTATTTTAAGGGTAGGGGAAAAATCTGAAAGCATTGCCTAAGCACAACAGCATTTATAGTGTTCCTGTAGAAAAAGTTCAATCTCATTCAGTTCAAGGGATTCAGGTACTTTTTCCAAACATAAGAAAAGTTAAGTTTCACACAGAATTGTAGGATCTTAGAGCTGAATATTTTTAATAAGATTAACAAACTTTCAGTGTTAAATCAAATTCCAGAAATGTCAAATGAATGATTGAAAGGTATATTCATGTATTTATAAAGAAATACAACTTTAATTATTATTTGAAAACACCATTTTGCTTTCCATAATTGCTTCAAAGTTTTTTTTTTTCAGCTTTAATTGAGTTTATTGGTACATTTTAGGGATACAGTATAGTTACATTCATTGTTGGGATCTTGTACCTCTACATGACAAGTCTTGGCTCTCATTTTTTTCCCTTGTCCCTGTGCTCCCTTTACCCCCTCCTCCCCTCCCCATCTACAACCACTTAATTTCCATCTTTTCACTATCTCACATTTTTCCTTTTCCCTTTTTACCCTTCCCCTGCCCATCCTACCTTCCCTACACCTTTAGCTCCTTTCTTCCCATGCTTTAAAGTTGTTTTTAATTTTTTCAATGCTGAAGATTAAAGCCAGGGCCTTGCACATGCTAGGTGTGTGCTCCACCACTGAGCTACATCTCTAGCCCTACTTTTAAGTACTGAACTTCATAATTCTCTTTGCTTTTTGTGGCATCTATGACTGGCACAAAAAATAGGAAAATTATGATATTTTATGGTCAAATTAATTATTATATGAGTGTGCAAATTCCATAAATTGAAACTTGAAAGAGTTTTAATTAGGAGGAATGATGCAAACTTGTTTGTCCTTCTACTGTGTGTAGGCTGCCAGAACATTGGTATAAATTCACAGAACAGATAAAGTCCCTGAAAAAAATATTGATTCCTGAAGTCATTCCTAAAATTTTATGTCATAGGAAAATAGAAACAAATCTAATTTATTCAAAGCCTTGAGTTTTGATAGAACACCTTTCCATTACTTTATCTTATGATCTTTACTTTTCCAACCCTTAGAATTCTATTGTTTAGAATCTGGAAATGATTATTATTCAATCATATTCTTACTCTGAACAAACAAAATAAAACACAAATTTTTAATGATATAGGTACAAACCACACCTTAATAGTAAACACATGTAAATATTTTTGTGTGTGTTTCAGAGCATGGCACTCAAAGAATCTTTCCTTACATGAGTAAGACAGTATAGTCTTTGTAACACAGAAAGGGATTCCCATCAGGCTTCTGGATCCTCAGTACATCAGGAACCAGAAAATTATCTAAGCCAGAAAATAGTCAGTAAGAAAGCAAAAAATGAAACAAAAGAATGAAATTCTTACCCATTTTTTCCATGAACTTGTCATAGTTCACATTTCGGTCCACTTTCCAAGTACCATTAAAAGTCATGATCGCAGATGAGGTGGATTCCAGGAAGTAGCCATGCAGTACTGACCATGTGAGATAATTTATTCCATTTCTTATCTTAGAACCAACTTCTCACAGTGATGTGGAAGTTTAAAGTTCAAGGGATCACTTAGCCACTCTATGCTAAGTCACTTTAGCTTCTCTTTGCATAATTTTTTACATCTCCTCCAATTCAAGTGAACCAAAACTGGAAAAGCACATCTTTGGTGTCTTAAACTACATTTTGTCCACCCATTTACCTCAAGAATCAGAACTATCTGGAGATAGCTTTTCTGCTTATGAGTTCAAAGTACACACTATGCTGGAGCTACCATAATTTGCACAGCATATATCAAAAAACATCTGAGAAATGAGGCAGTAATGACATCCCTTTTTTATGATCATCAGTTGCATTTTAAGTCAGAATTTATGATAAATACCGGTGAAAAGTTAAAGTTAGTATGATTATTGAGACTGAAATTTTATTTTCATTTGTGTTCTCAATTGTTATTATTGAGATAGTTAACATAAAGTCAACATATTCTTTTGAATTGCAAAATGCACTGCTTTTACATATATTCACAGTGTCATACAACCATCTCCACTGTCATATTCCTGAATAGTTCATCATTCCAAAAAGAAACCCCATGCATATAAAGCATCTGCAGTCCCTGTCCACCTTTCATCCACTTCCTGTCTCTATGGAGATGTCTATTCTGGAAACTTCACACAGAGTGCATCATACAGCAGGTAGCTTTTTATGCTTGAATTATTTCAATGAACATAATGGTTTAATATTTACCTATGAGCACTTCATTCATTTCAATATTACATTTTGTATTAAAAAATGCACTAACTGTACATACTAATGGGTTCGGTGTGATATGAGTACATCATGCCGAATCAAATCCAGCCTTGGCTTCCCAACCTTTAGTTACTCTTCCTCAGGCCAACTGCTGTACCCTCTACATGTGACAGAGGCCATGTGGGACTTGTCTGAAAATGTATTTCTAACATGTACTTTTTTGCATTGCCTTCAGGGTGGCCAGAGTTTGTACAAATGGCCTGATAGTGGGAAAGTGCATGGCACAACAGGTACTCATGAGGATTTTGTTTTGGTTTTGAAGGGTGATGATAGGTCACTGACTACAATTTCAAGAGGTGGAACTGTATCTGGATAACATAAAAGCTCTCAGAAAAGAATCAGTGTTAAACATGTGCCACCTGCAGAGAGAACAAGAGCCATATGTTAGCAGGGGCAGCAATTAAAACCATTCCTTTGTGTTTTTCTCTCTCCTAAACCTGGGAGAAATGGAAGACACACCTCACTTTCTGTTGGCGTGGAGAAGTGGGGCGTGGCTGAAAGGTAGAAAGAGAAGGTCACGGCATCTCTCTCCCTCCACTGCAGACCTCTAGCCCAGAGCAGGCCTCAGCTGGGATGAAAAGTTGTACTTAATTATTAAGTAGTCTTAAAATGCTACTTACTAAAAACAGGCTGTTTTTGTGACTGAATGTGATCTGAGAACATCTTATTGACTAAGCTTTAGCCGATAAGCTATAAAACCTGGCCAAGACTTCACTGAGGATCAGGGAAGAATGTATCTGAAAGGTTTGAAAAGGGCCTTGGGGAACAGAATCACATTTAATAACATTGTGTCTATTGGGCAACCATGTTTTCAATGGGTTGCCCTCTACTTATTTTACCAAGTAGGCACATTAAAAAGGGACTTCTCACTGGGTGAAACACACTTGTAGTTCCATCTGCTTGACAGGCAAAGGCAGGAGATTTTCAAGTTTGAGGTCAGGCTGGGCTACTTAGTGAGAAGTGTCTCAATATAAAAAATTTTTTTCAAATGCTGGGTATATGGCTTATTGGTAGAGTGCTTGCCTAGTATATGTGAGGCCCTGGGTTCAATTCCTAGTCCCTCAGTCATAGGAAACTACTTTCTATTAAGTGTATTATTTTGTGTAGAAGGGCAGGCACACTAGAACACACACAGAGGAGAGAAAGCAAAGTTGTAATGTAGTACTGGGAAGTGTTTTACACTGATAACTGAGGCTTTAACAAAATTAACTACACTGGCTTCTGTTTCACCATCTTATGCCAAAGAGAATCGCTGAAGAACAATTAACCTGGTGTGTATTCAACATGGTGGGGAGTAGGAAAAGTTTATGACTGAAGAGATGAGGGATGGAGGCAGGGGGAGCTGGGAGAGGTAGAGGGGAAAGGAGGGAGAGGGAAAGAGAGAGATAGGAAGGAGAGGGGGAGGGGGAAGAGGAAGGGGCAGGGGAGCAGGAGAGGGAGGGAGGAGAGTAGGGAGACGGAGAGGAGACCAGAGAAGAAATAAGAGCAAGAAGATCTTTTTCCATAGCATCTATAGTACAACCACAGGCACACTTTCCCAAACTGCAGGACTCTAAGGGTTATAGTATTATCATAGAAAAAAATAAAGGGTTATATGTGCACTCATCATTAGTATCAAAGGTCTCAAAGATAAAGATTGTCCTGGTCTAAAGCTTCTACATAACCTTTACTAGATGGACTCCAGGTAAGTGATAAAATTTGGGGAACTTCAGAGTTGGAGAGCTGGAGAAAGGAAAGTATAAGTTTAAAATCGATCTGGACATCAAAACATGTTCATGAATTCAGTCTACAGAGATAACAGGGCTTTCAATCTGGCTTTAGCTAGGACATAGCCACCAATAAATGGAAGATCAAAAGTTGAACATGTCCATTCAGTTGACAGGCTTGTGTGAGTCCAAGTGCTATCTGCTTTCACTGATTCTTTTCCATTCCTTCTGAGAAGCGTGAAGTGGTCCTAGACAAAAGCTGTGGCTGTGTTTGGAAGGCACTGTTAGGCGAACCATTCTTATTGTCAGAGTGTTCCTGGAAGAAGCCATTCCAGTCTGTTGTTCCTCACATTCCTGCTGCAGCTATGCACTTGTATTCCCATGGCTGTGAGAGCAGAGAGGAAACGTGTATTCCCATGGGGCACTACAGCCCCATGAGTCTTTAGCAGTCAAGTCCAAGGCATCTCCAGACCCAAGGTGATCACCAGTTTAAGTCACAAAATACAAAAATAATTTTAAGTGACTTTCTGATAATCACCAGAAAGATATGCATTTTCCTTACCAAGTAGGAAAGTAGTTTGAGACCTGGGATGCTTCTAAGACAGTGGTATTTCTTCTGGATTTCCTTTTTCAAAGAGCGAGGACAGAAACTAAGATTTATTGAGTATTTGATGTTTATCAGTTGTTCAGGTGGGCACTTTACATAATTTGCTCAATATTTCCATTTATAGGTGAGGAAACTGAGACTCAGCAAGACTGAAGTATCCGACCAGTGTGTTGCCTAGCAAAAAGTGTTACTATTATGGTATTGAAACTCAAGCCATTTTGTTTCTAAAGAACTTGTTCAGCTCACTATACCAAATTTGGACTTCACTGTCCAGATACACCTGTTCTCTCATCTAGAAAAATTGAATTTACTCATCATCTACGGGCTTCTAAATCCATGTGTTACTAGGAACTGTGAATTTCTTGGAAGGCTATGTCGTGCATAGTCTCCTGGTGATACCTATCTATTTCTCCAGAAAAAGTTTAAACCACATTCGTTAGTGTGGCTTGCAAAGTTAGTATTCATAAGAGGTATACAAATATATGGTGAATGTTTAAATTTAATAAATTTATTACAGTAGAATACACTGTGACTGATCTTCCCAAAAAACTTCCTCTCATTTTGAACATATGATACCATCTTCTTGCCACATGCTGAAGCAGTTCTGGGAGTCTTCTTTAATGTCTGTATGAGGCATGGTCACAAATACAGTGAATGCTGCTGCTGCTGGCCTTCTAAGGAAAACGCAGGCTCCTAAAAACCTTACCCTGTGTCCTCATCCATCTTGTTCACTGGATTCGGCACCTTGTGACTTCTGACTTTTCCAATATCAAAATGACCATGGAAAGTAAATGTTTTGAATAAAGCCAGGATTAACGAGGAAGCCACAGCAGTGCAACTAAAGACATTTACAAAAAAGGACTTCCGGAACTGCTTCAGAAAATGACAAGACTAACAGGATGTATCCCAAGTGAGGGTGAATATTTTTAGGGGGATTAATGATAGCATGTCTTTCAGTGTAGAATGTTGTTTTAAAACATTGAACATTCACCATATTTTTTGATGACCCTGAGTCTATCTCTAGTTTTTGTCCATTTCTTACAGTGTATTCCTTAATCTAGCTATATTAAACCCCTTGCCGTTCTAAGTACCTTGAACAACCATGCTTCTGGTGCCTTGGGTTCTGTCACTGACCTGCTCCAAGCTGCCAAGAGTGAGTCAGGTTACCTTTTCCCTAGTTATAAAGGTCTCAGTGTAGCTCATAAAAGACAAACACAGTTAATTTATGATAGCCCAGGTGACATTATTATTATGAAGTCTAAAGCCATAACTGGCAAGGGCAACAAGATGTGAAAAGCTCATCTCAAACAAATAGCTTTCCAGAGTTGGCAGAAGTCTTTTTATCTCATTGTGTGGAAGAAGGAGCCTTGTTCTTTTTTATTTTTTTAATCTTATTAAGTTTATTGGTACTTTTTAAGTATACCGTACAGTTATAGTCATCATTGGGATCTTTTACCTTTACATGACAGATCTTGGTTCTTATTTTTCCCCATACCCTACCCTTCTTCACCCCCTCCCCTTCCCCTATTGACAAAGACTTTGTTTCCATTTTTCTTCTTCTCATATATTGTCTTGTCCCTTGTTCTTGACCATTATTTTTTACATATCATGAACAAAAATCCATAGCATGTAGTGGAATTTCTTTCATCTCAGAATTTATTGACATATATATATATAGATGTATGTATATGTATATATCTATATATATATCTATCTATATATATATATATTTTTTTTTTGGTACCGGGGATTGAACTCTGTCCCTTCCACTTGCAAGTCAGGTGGCGGAACCACTGAGCTCAATCCCTGGCTTGACTTTATATTT